GCTTTTAAAAGTCGATTTTTATCGATTTTATCGATTCGTTGTTGCAGCCCTAATATTTTCGGCAAACTCCTGAAACGATTCGATTTTGATTCATACAGTTCTAAATTGATTTATTTAAATTCTATCTGTTTTTACAACAATGAAAGTGGTTCAACTGTGTTTCAAAATAAAATATTTAATTTTTTCCTGTCCCATTAAACACAAAGTGCAAACTTCTAAATCAGACAGTTTAAACTAGAGATGTGAACAAAACTGTCTCAAAAGAGCAAACTTGTTTGTGAAAAGTGAAAAAGTGAAGCCTTACACGAGCGAGCAGACGTGACACAGCAGACATGCATGAGCTGCATTATCTCCACTGTACAAACCATATTTGCAAAACTGGTCAGCCCCCATTTGTTCATGTCTTCAGTCAACCTATTGGCTATATTTGCAGCTGTCTGGGTTGAAGTCATCTTGGTGGTCTGTATCACGAGAAGGGAGCCGCCACTCATTATCAATGTAGAGGGAAGTCACCTTAATGTCACACATCCAGCACATTATCTTTAACTGTTTTAAGTCTAAAATGGTTCCAGACGTCCGACTTCAGTTGGGACAGCTTGCTGAGCATTGTGTGACTTGGGTCAACATTTGCACATGCCTGCTCATTTGAATGTGAACGTCACACGCGTCACTATAAAACTAGTCAATCTCATTCCCTACACATCGATTTTGGAAAATCGGAAAGGGATCGATCCCAAATCGGACAGAGGCCTGTTAAAAACAGTCAGTTATATATTCAGTTTGACCTTTCACTACCGCAATGAAGGAATTCAGTTTAAAATTTCTTTCAGATTTTTAGAGGAGATGTCTATAAATCTGCTCAGCACTGCATAGGATAGTTAGCATCTTAAGTCAAAGGGATCAAAGAGAGGATGCATCTCACGAAGCAGGGATGGGTCATCTTAGTCACAACTCTACTTGAACTAATTCATTTCTTCTTTGTTGAAAGTTGATCTCTGGTTCCCTATTTACCATCTCTGTTTTTCTTCTTCTTTTTTTTTTTAACTAAAAACAGAGTGTGGCACCCATCAGAACACTTTGGCCATGTCAGGACGGAGGAGAGGAGCTCCAGCACGGCTGCTCAAGTGTGCCTTCTGCAGAAGCAACAAGGATTGCGGCCAGCTGCTGCTGTCTGACAGCCAGAAGGTGGCAGCCCACCATAAGTGCATGGTGAGAGGAGCTCCTTGTTCTCAACTTTATGGCCTAACATCCCTCAAGGAAGCGTTTCATTTCAAGCCTCCCTCCCTGTACTTAAGAGAGATAAACAGCGTAACCTAAATAAAACCAGTATCTATGTTTGAATCATGTAGAAACTAACACTTTGAGTAGACATGCTGTAGAATAAATAGGTGCTTCTCGCAACACAGAAAATAGGCTTCATTTCAGATTCAAAAGGGGAACTGTTTTGTTCTGTTTCTTGTCTTCACAGCTTTTCTCATCGGCTCTGGTTACGTCGCATTCAGACAGTGAAAACATCGGAGGATTTTCCCTTGATGATGTCAAAAAGGAGATCAAGAGGGGAAGCAAACTGGTGAGTTCCCACCATGGCATGACGGTCATCTCTGTCGTCGTTAAAGGACAAGCATGTGATTAAGAATACTTTGGTGTTTATAAAACCATTGTTTGGGAGTAAGCCTGCCTCATAATTAAAGACAGACACATGACCATGTGCTGCTGCAATTGTAGGTCTGTCAAACAGGGGTTTTACCTGTTTGGTTGAGTGCATCAAATTTTCCACATCCCATATTCTTGATTTGGGTCCTGTGGGGTCCGTGTTTCCCAAATGAAAAAAAATCAATAAATCTATGCCCACCACTAGATTATTCTCCCTGTAATCTTGGAATTAATCTAGATCTAGATTAATCTAGATTAGAATGGCTCATTTGAATTTTGCCAAAGGGCATCATGAATCAGAATTACTTAGGAAATTGTTTTCTTGCAGTGCAATCATTATATAAATGTATATATCTAAGATAAAAAAAAAATAAGATAAGGATGATATGTGTGTGCTACCTAAATAAGTAAAAGTAAGTCTTTGAACAGGTTTCTCAGGCCAGGTTGCGCATTAGGCAAGGAGCTCATCTCCTTTTTCCAAACTGCTTGACAAAGCTTTGATAACGGGTGATGAAAATAAATAATTTTCAATAAGATATATTTGTGTTTATTCAGATAAACATGAATTCTGAACTTTAGGCCTTTCATAATAGGTTATTATGAAGTGTTTACAGTCAGTATCTTTGTGTCAGTCAGTCCAAGCTCTATTTCTCCTTTTCCCAAAAGTCACTCAGTCATTGTAATGTCCTGAGAGGCTGGAGTAGCAGCAAGGGCTGCTGGGAAATGTCAAGATGGGGAAAACGTCACCATTTTATCCCAGTTTTGGGTTAAAGATGGTTGTTTATGTTGGTAGTCTGTTAATACTAAGCTAACATTATGTTGGAGGTTGCAGCTGTGTGTGAACATTGGCAGAATCGGAAGAATGTTTCACTTAGGGCTGGGCGATATAGAAAAAAAGCTTATCGATAAAAAGAAATGCATATTGATCGATATCGATAATTATTGAAAAGATTTGAAACCATATTTTATGTGCAGCTCTGCCTGGACTTTTTATAATATTGCTAAATGATTTAATTTTAATAAAAAACACAAACACAGACTTCGAATTAAATCTTTATTTAACCATTTTTTTTTTAACCATAACAGAATTGTTTTAAAA